CTCTCTCTCTCTCTCTTGCTCGCTCGCTGATGTTGCCCCCACCAAAGGGCTTTCCCTGGACCTGCGGGAGCTGGTCTCCCACAGTTAGTGACTGTTCCTCTGGGTCTGACTCACACAACATGGCTTCTCTTAGGCTCCCCTTCTGTCCCCCTCTCCCTCTGTACAGTGCCCTATCTGAGGTGTCCCCTGACCCATGCCCTCTCTCTGCCCCCAAGGGCACTTGCCTTTGTACAACAGTCACTGCTACCAGCATGAATGAGGTTTAATTTCTCCTCAGGGCTTTGCATTTAGGCAGACTGGTGACCGTTGGGGACCAGCATGGGTGAGGAGGAATCGAAGCCACCAGCTTCCTGGAGTCTCTGCCTTTCTTTCCTGTCCAGTCGAAACTGTTTTCTCTATTAACAAGAAAAGATAGTTGGTCCACATGATGGCAAAGAACTGCTGGTTCTACTTTCCCATTTAAACTGTTTTCCTTATACGGCGTAAGTGGGATTTTCAGAGACACACGGTGGGGCTCTTATGTACGGAACAGGCTAGGAGGAGATTACAGGGAGGAAGAAGACAGACGCAGATTTTTTGCTTTTGTTTTCCGTTTCTCTTCGCGTTGAGCTGGCAGGTCACAGGTTTCAATGAGGAGCCATTTTCTTGTCTATCAGTAAATCAGGTATGCCAGCATTCAGGAAAACTTCTGCAGCACTGATGTCTAGTTCCTAGGCTATCATCGGGGTGGGGGGGGGATGTTATTTTAAGAACAAATTGGCCCTATTTTACGGGAAACGATGTAATGCGACTGCTTTTGGCTTCAGTGAAGCCAGTTTACAGGAACTGTAAACTACATATAACTTAGTTTACACATTAGTGGCAAAGAGAGTTTCCTCAGCATAAAGCCAGTAAGGAGTGCTAACTGGGAAGAATCTGGACACTACCATGTGGCCACGAGTTTTCTGTGCTTTGTTGCTTTGGCTGTGCTGCCAGATTTAAGCAAGAGAGAAACGGGTCTGATGAAAATGAACTGAGACTTCTCACTGCATCAGAAAGGGGACAACACGGCAGGGCTTCTTCCCCGTGGCTGGTGAGGGATGAGGAAAATTCAAGTAATTGAGGAATCAAATGACATGTATTCGTGGCTTAAGGGGTAGTGTCCTTTTCCACAGTCTCATTCTTAATTCATTGAGTCTCTTGGCAAGGACTCAAAATGAAACGAGGCGTTTGGAGAGAGTGGGGAAGTAAAAGAGGGGAGCAAGGTGGTGAAAGAAGGCGAGAAAGGAAGAAGAGACTGAGACTCAGATATGGGGGAGGTGGACCCAGAAAGGGAGCCGAGAGAAGTAAAAGTGCGTGGCCAAGGACAGCAAGAGAAGGGGGCAGGGGGTCTTGAGAGGAAGGGAGGAAGGAAACAAGTGAAGAGGTGAGCATGGAGATAAGAAATGCCTGGGGCTTACAAATGAAAACACCTCACTCAACGCAGTGGGTGACTTTGGGCAAGCGACTCAATTTCTCTGTAAAACAGAGTAATTCTCTTTCCACCCACCTTGACAGATCTGTGTAAACAAATGAGGTGAGGTTGTGAATGTGCTCTAGGAGTATAGGGTCTTTTGTGATTCAGAACTAAATAATAATAGGTTTCTGTTGTTGTTGTTGTTGTTGTTGTTTTATTGGTCTCTGGTCTCTCTGTCCCCTAGGAGCAGATATGGACCAAAAGGAAGGCTGTCACTTGGGTAAGTGACTTCCGGTGTGCATGCCTATTCTGCCATATTCTGTGCCTATTTTATAGAAAAATCCTACTATCCTCTCTATACAAAATATAAGCTATCTGTTAGTTCTTCATGAGAGAGAATCGGTTGACACTGCTCATTCCAGTATGTCCCAGATCCAGCCACTTCCTTGGTGGTCATAACCACACCTCTGGTCAGAGAAGCTATCTCTCCCTCTCTGGCCTGAGAACAGTCGGGTTACGTAACCCACCTGGAGGTGGCACCCAGAGTCTTGGCTACACATCTCTGAGCCACAGAAACTTGGTCTTCCAGATGGCCGGAACGGAGTGATTGGGGCAAGTCTTGCTTGATGAGATAAGTCCCTAAATCCTTCTCGTCCCCTCAAGTATATTTATCTAGGATCCAACATGGCACTACACTACAGTCCTAGAGAAGTCTAGATGTTTTCAAAACAACATAATTTATTTTATTTGATAATGGAGTTAGAGCCTATTTCATAAATGCAATACATTGTGAGAGTATCTTTTCCCATAATATGGGAATAACTCCTTATCAAAGATAATTCCATTGGCACGATCCGTATAGTAATAACACAGTGATCACTATAGCAATAACACAGTGATCACTATAGCAATAACACAGTAAATTTGCTCTTAACAGGACCATATATGAAGAACCAACATGCCAGAGGATCAGAGCTCAGAATCATCCTGGTGGGCAGAACAGGAACCGGCAAAAGTGCCACAGGGAACAGCATCCTTGGGAAGCAAGCGTTTGAGTCACAGCTGCGTGCCCAGCCCGTCACTAAGACTTGCTGGGAAAGTTGGGGGAGCTGGGGAGAGAGAGAGATGGTCATTGTTGACACGCCAGATATGTTTTCTGGGAAGGACCACTCTGATCCCTTGTACAAAGAGGTACACAGGTGCTACCTGCTCTCGGCCCCGGGACCCCATGTGCTGCTCCTCGTGACACAGCTGGGCCGATTCACAGCCCAGGACCAGCAGGCTGCGCAGAGGGTGAAGGAGATCTTTGGGGAGGAGGCCATGAGACACACAATTGTCCTCTTCACCCACAAGGAAGACCTTGAAGGAGGCTCCTTGATGGAGTACATCCACGGCTCAGACAATAAAGCCCTAAGCGAGCTGGTGGCAGGGTGTGGCGGGCGAGCGTGTGCCTTTAATAACCGAGCTAAAGGGAGCGAACGTGATGACCAAGTGAAGGAGCTAATGGACTTGATTGAGGGCCTGGTGTCAGACAAAAGTGGTGACCACTTTACCAATGGTCTGTACAGCCTAGTAACAGGGTCAGAATGTGAACCTGAGAGGTCAGAGAAAAGGTTAAAGGATTTCAAAGAGAGTCTTATAAAGTACATGGAAATTCAGAGACGTTGCACAACCAAGGCCAAGGCAATTTGCCTAAAATCTGCCCTAATCAAAATACTACTGGGTATTTTAGCTTGTATGTGGTTATTTGCCAAACTTCTAATTCTGTTATTATGTATATTGCTCAAAATATGGAATTTCTTTTACTTACTCTGTAGTATGTGCAATTTGTTCTGTAGTTTACCGTTAATTATTCTCAAAAAATTAATGATAATATCTGGAAAGACCATTGGTCTAGAAGGCAAGACTCCTAGATTATAGCTATAGATCAGTGATCATATTCACTGTCAGATGGGGGTGACTCACAGTGCCTCCTCTATAAAATGCAGTGCCTGACATCAGCATTTGAGATTCTGCAAAGTGTTTAAATCTTAACATCACTCAATTTGTTAATGAGCCATATTATTTTAAAAGTTACTGTTTATTTTTAAATATGTATCAAAATCTTTTGAAGGCTGTAAACACAAAATTCCTCCCATTTGCAAATGTCCAAAGCCAGTTTTATCTTCCTAGAAACTCCTTTGATTCTTTAAACTACTATTTCTACAGAATATAATGAAGATAACCATAAAATTTCTACTGAATATAAGAGCAATAATAAGTAAGCTATAAAGTTCCTGAGATGGTATGTCTTTAATTCTGCTCTATGTTTTTAGCCTCAGATGATAGGAAGTGGACACATGGCTTATTTCGATAACGAAATCAATTATGCCCACGAACCACACACAGACACACTCACACATCAATAGCCTGTTTTATGTACATCGAATGTGCTTAACATTGAAAGAGGCTCAGCCAGAAATTTATCCCTGGCCCCAATCACATTGACCATTGAAACACCCGTAACGGCTGACACTTCAGCCAAGATGGTGGGCTGGGCAATCTGAAGCATCACCCTGTTAAATGAGAATAGAAACTGAATTTATTAAAAATAAACACAGTCTTTATGATCGATGGTCTCACTAGAAAATAAGGAAAACTGTTGACCTATCAACAAATGTCGCTATCAATCCCGAGATGGAGACATTCAGGCTTGGGTTGTTGGTAAAGTTGGAGAGCTGATGCTGAGACGTCTGTATGAAGTTAGGCCCTTCCCAGGGAATTAATATTATAAGCTCATTTTTAAAACAAATACATAAGGCTGTTCTGATTTTTTATTTCTCTTATGCTTATTTTGTTAAGTTGTGATTTTCAAGGAATTTTTTTCTATATTATAGTTGAATTTATTTGCATAAATATATAAAATCTTTTTATTATGCCTTTAGTATGTACAAGAACTATAGTCAGCTTTCCTCTTTGAATTTTGATATTGGCGATTTATGATTAATATTTCTTTTGGTTTGATCAGCCTGGCTAGAGGTTTATTAATTTTATTAAACTTTACAAAAATTGAACTTTGATTTTTCTAATATTTTTTCTGTGTTCCATTTTATTGCATGTTCTTAACAATTTCTTTTGCAGAGCAGAAGTTTTTAACTTTAATAAAGTACAACTTACTAATTTTTTTCTTTCATAGATCATACTTTTGGTGTTGTACTTAAAAAGTGATCCTCAAACCTGAAGTCACCTAGATTTTCTCCAATGTTTTCAATCCTTTTTTTTTATACTCTACACATTTTCTCTGAGTGGTTTTCCCCATTCATTTGTCTTTGGATGGCATGCTGATGTTTCTTCAAATATACCTCCACCCGAGTCCTTTCTCCTGGTCCTTTATTAACTGAAGCTCATCCTAGATTCTTGCACAAGTCTAGGTTTCCAGCAACGCTTGTATCTCTCTCCCTCAGAACTTTTATTCTATACCTTTGACTTCGGTGTCTTATTGTACATAATGCTGGAAGATGAAATATATAACATTTTAACTTCTGATTTGGCTTGCAAACTTCCATCTCCTTTTCTGTTACAGTGTCAAACTAAAACGCTGGCTCTGTTCTTGTCCCATGAAACTGAATCCTGGATACCACCTTCTTGGCTGGTACCTCTATAACAAGTCAACTTCGATTGCCACAACCTTCCTCTCCCCCTTGAAAAGAAAGCAGGATCTACATGACACTGAAATGGTGCTTCTAAATGTGGGAGCATAGTGGAGCCAATGACTTTCAGATAGCCAATATTTAATTATTTGCTTATCTCCTCTCCTGAGATGTTATTTGGATCATTTTTATTCCTTTGCGGCCCTGGGGCTGCCCACAGTTGAGCTCTGGGTGTGTCAAGGAAGGACGGGGGACATCAAAGCTGAAGAATGATCCCAAAAGGTTTAAACTTCTTATTATTGAAGATCGGTTCAGAAAAGATGTTTTTCTTAAAATTTGTGAATTCAATGTTTTCTGTGCCATTTTTGCTGGGTTTATAAAGACAGAGAGGAAAACACGAACAAGCAAATACTGAAAGAAGAAGAAAGGAAGTGTAGGAGGACAGGAGAGGAAACGGGACCCTGAATGGTTTTGATACCCAGGGAACTCAGGGTCGTGGACCACAGACGAGTTTCCACAATTGATGGGAAGTCAGTGAATAACAGGGCACCAAGCCCAGGGACAATGAGAAATTATTAAACGCTGACAGGAATGTAGAGGAAAATGGAGACAGAAACAGTTACTTTTGGATAGGAAGGTGACCCTAGAAAGCACTAGTAGGGATGTGAGGATGTGAAAATGAGAAGGGAACAATGGAAAGGAGCCAACACGGTGTGTCGATGAGCGTAACACCACTGTAGACAATGATGAAGAAGTTGCCTCTGCAGACAGTGGGTCTCAGTCCTACTGGGACCTCAGCAATTTGCATAAAATACACTGCAGATTTATCTCACTTGGTGGGCAGAAGGAATTTAATAAGCAAGGAAACTGGGGTACTTCACCACTAACTTCTCTCATGGATGAGGTCTGCTCCTGGGGACATCAGCTGTCTGACAACTTCAGGCTGCTCCATGCACTAGCCAAGCATATTCTTGGGGCCAGATAAACCCTCCGACAGAGTTACAAGTGGTTGACATGAGACACCACAGGCATGCATGGGAGCAGTGAAAGGCAAGGAGTTACTGGAGAGGCACAGAGAGCGTCTTCATGAAAGGTCCATGTTGGGCGTCAAAGGCTTAATCAAAGATGATCTATATGGCTTGGAGTAGGGTGAGGCTAGTGAGGAGGCATAGGCACCTCACTCTTAAGGAAGCACTCCTAGTCAGAGTCGTTCACCTGCAGGGTTGGCACTTGAATGACCCTGGGAGTGAGTGCCTCCTTAAATTTGGTGCCCTGGACACCATAGCTGGCTCCCACTAGTCCTGGCCCTGCTAATCTAGCAGGAGAATGAGAGGCTTCCTGCAATGCTTGAATGGACACAGTGGGAGTGTCACTCTGACCTCCCAAAAGAATAAGAAATAATGGAAGTTGAGTCTCTTACCTACCTGAAAAAAAAAAAGGCTGGCAAGAAAGAGCTGGAAAAGCAGATCTCAGGCAGCAGACTAGGGCTCAGGATAGCTCTCCTTCCCACATATAGAGACAGTCAACTCCAAAAGTTTAAGTGAGCTAGGGACGGTCACACCGTTGGAGAGTGACCTGCCCAGGTCTAGGGCCAGTCCTGTTCACCATACAATTGGCTCTCTTGCTGACCTCACTCTCATGACCGTCTTGAGAAGAGACAGAATAACTAGAATTGGCGATACCAACACAGAGACCAGACTAAGCCTCGTAATAGGCGAATCTGAGAATTGTGCAAAGGTAGTCATCCTCAACATGCCAGCTCGCCCTCAAGTCTTTACTAGGGGGAAGCTGTCCTTTTTAGGAATAATGAGACTCTACTGCCGGGTTCTTCTGACACTCTGGACCACCAGAGCAGCATTGGCCACATGGATGTCCAATCAATGGACTGCTGCTGAGAATAGCTATTGTGTCCTTTGCTCTGGGGCAGGAGACTCCTGGACCTATTTTGTAGGGGGGAAAAATCCCAAGATGGTGAAAAGTAATTGAAGCTTATAATAGTTCAGTAACCAATTCTAGAAGCAGAGTCAGGGCTCAGGGCTCCAACACCCTCCCTTCCTCCGGTATGGCAAGACGTTTGGTATCAGGGGCCCTGCTGGAATCACACATCACTTTAGTCACAGCAAGAGGGAGGAGGTTGTGTTGGAGAAACACTGCAAACCCACACTCCATGGCAAATGTTTCTGTCTCTTTAAGTCGTCAACCCGGGGCACCGCCCCCTCCCTCCCTGTCCCCCCACTCGCCTCCCCCCAGGGCTTCCTGCTCTGAGGCTCTGAGGAATGAGAGATGCTGACACTTCCCCATGTGCTGGGAGGACAGCCTGCTGCCCTCTCAACTAAGGGAAAGCAGTAGGTCAGGGCTTCAGGGGCCAGCGTCAGAGCCTGCCGCCAGTTCTGCAGGAAAGGTGAGCCCAAGCAGGGGAAGGGGGCCGGCGGGGGAGCAGGAGCTGTGAGGACCCAGAAGAACTCGGGGCCTGTAGGAAGCTGGCTGAGTGAGCACCTACCTTCTAGAAGGTACCAGGCTGGGAGCGCGGTCTAGAAAGAGGCACTGCCCACTCCCAGGTGTGTAAGGATGTTCTGAGTCTCACACCCAGTACGTTCAGAAGGAGGGTGGGCATCCAGCCTGGTGCACACGCTCTCCTTTGGGGCGGACTCCACTCCCTCCCTGCTCCCCCACTAAGTGTCCTAGGACCACTGCAGGGAACAAACCCCACCTTCAAAGGCAGGAAACACTCCCCAAAAGCATATTCGGCACAGGCAGATATTCCTGGGGACGTATAAGCGAGTCTAACCTCGGAACAAGTTACAAAGTGAAAAATCTGTGTACATCTGGGCTGAACCGCCTAAAGCACTCCACTCTCCTCAGTGTCCACAACGGGGTATTTATGGCGAGAGGCATCTAAGGTCGAGAACATGGTCTTCCCTCCTGTGCCCTTGAACATCTGCTCCCAACCCAAGCTGCCCAGGGCTGTGTGGGCCGCTGAGCCATCTTAATTCCCTGCCTGCTCTGTATGATGCAGGGGCTGGGACTAGGATAACTGATCCAGAACTACATCGTGGACTGAACGCATCAGAATCACTGGTGGGGGAGGGTTAGCTGTTTTTTTAAAGTACAGATATGTGATTCAAAAACTCTAAGAACTATGCATTTTAATGAATCCCCTAGATAATTAATTCCCAAAGAGAGCAGGT